AAACCAGAACACCATGTTCTATTCATTGTGGGCCAAAACCCAAGGTCCTACAGCTGAAACCATGGAGTGTTGTACACAGTCTGAGGGAAAGGGCGAGGGCTTTGGAAAGTGCACCCATGAACTCCTGAGAGCAGTATGGTATTACTTTGGGCAGGTTCCAAAGGACACACCAGGCCCTTGTGATTGATATATATTTTAACTTTATTTTATATACATTGGTGTGAAGATTCAGATCCCCAGGAACTGGAGTTATGGACAGTTATGAGCTGTCATGTGGGTGATGGGCTCTCTGTGAAATAGTCCTGGCTGTCCTGTCCTGGAACTCCCTCTGTAAACCAAGCTGGCCTTGAACTCACAGCCTTCCCAGTGCTGGGATTAAAGGCCTGCACCACCATGCCATCTCACTCCTGTGATCTTTACAAGGCATCTATAACCTGTAGCCTGGAAGAGAGGTATTCCCTTTTCCTCCCCAAACAGCTTTCTTGAGTGTAGGTCTCTGCTGGGAGGAAGGTGGATAGGTGCCCACTAGGCATGGCCTTTTGCCCTGTGCTTATGTTTAGGAAGGCTGTGCTCTGGCCCACCTAACCCTGTCTGCAAACTCGCTGAGTGACAAAGCTGTGAGAGAACTGAGCAGGTAACATACCGTCCCTCGGCTACTGACTGTCCTGTGATCCCAGGAGCCTGATGTGAACACTACGCAGGACCAGGGGACATGGGTCAGGTGGCAGCACCACTTTCTGACTCCCGATGTCTACAGGGATGGCTCTGGCAGGATGCTTACCCTCCTTCAGTCCCTCAGCTATCTTTCAGGGCAATGTCAGTTGCCCAGAGCCGGCCGTCACAGGCTTTCCTCTGACTGGTGCAGTAGAGATCCTGCCTGTGCCAATTTGGAACAGATTCTGCTAGGCTTGGTACCTGGCTCCCAGACCTGTGGGTTTGACTGTGTCAGATTTCCCTCGTAATAAAGCTAAGGCTTTCCCTGGACGTTCATGCCTTCACTTCCCATGCTATTCCAGATGTCTCCCTTGTTGCCCCTCACTTGTCTCTCTGGACCTGTCTGCCAACCCTGAGGTCGGCTGTGCCAGTCTGGAGGAACTCCTGTCTGCCCTCCAAGAGAGGCTCCAAGGACTAAGTTTTCTTGGCTTGTCAGGTAAGGGTTGGAAGCTACAGTGACTCCTTGCCATGCCTCACCTAATGCAGGACATACTTTCCAGGGACCTGCCAGAGGAAGGGGCAGTGACCGTCAACAGTCAGGCTCTATAAGGCTTTTGTGGTATAGCAAGGGCAAGGGGTGAAACAGCCCTTGACTGGGTTACTCAGAATATGGCAGGAGGAACCATGACTCATATCTATATAACCCAGCTCTAGGGAGGCAAAGCAGACTACTTCAGACATGTCCTGAGCTACATGGTGAAGCCCTGTCTCAAAAGCAAAAGGAGACTCTGGAGATGGTCAGTAGTTAAGAGCTGCTCTTCCAGAGGACCCCCGTTCTCAGCACCTACATGGCGGCTCATGGCCTCTATAGCTCCAGTTACAGGGGATCTGAAGCTGCCTTCTGGCCTCTACAGGCAGCCGGATTTCACATGTGCAGATACAACACCAGTACACATACAAAGTCTTTCTTTCTTTCTTCCTTTCTTTCTTCCTTCCTCCCTCCCTTCTTTCCTTCCTTCCTACCTACCTACCTTCCTTCCTTCCTTCCTTCCTCTTTCTTTCTTCCTCTCTTTCTTTTTTTCCAAGACAGGGTTTTTCTGCAGCTTTGGAGACTTTCCTGGAACTTGCTCTGTAGACCAGGCTGGTCTCAAACTCAGAGATCCACCTGCATCTGCCTGCCTGACTAAAAACAAAATTTTTAATGAAATAAAAAGCATGAAGGAACCCAGGCGTTGGTGGCACACGCCTTTAGTCCCAGCACTAGGGAGACATAGGTGGCAGGCAGATCTCTGTCAGTTCAAGGCCCACCTGGTCTGGTCTACAGAGCAAGTTCCAGGACAAGCTCCAAAGCAATACAGAGAAACCCTGCCTTGAAATCAAACTAAACAACAACAAAAAGAATTAAGGACCAGGGCTGGAGAGATATTTCAGTGGTTAAGAGCACTGGCTGTTCTTTCAGAAGACCTGGGTTCAATTCCCATCACCCACATGGCAGCTCAAAATTGTCACTCCATTTCCCAGGGATCTGACAACTTCACACCAATTCATATAAAATAAATTTTTGTTTGCTTGTTTGTTTTTCAAGGCAGGGTTTCTCTGTATTGCTTTGGAGCCTGTCCTGCAACTAGCTCTATAGACCAGGCTGGCCCCTCTATACCTCCTGAGTGCTGGGATTAAAGGTGTGTGGCACAAACACCTGGCCCAGTAAAATATTTTTAAAAGCATTAAAGATTTTTTTTCACAGGTATATTTCTTCATTTTTTAAAACTTTTGTTTGTTTTTTGCTTTTTCAAGACAGGGTTTCTCTGTGGCTTTGGAGGCTGTCCTTTAACTAGCTCTTGTAGACCAGGCTGATCTCCTTACAGAGATCTGCCTGCCTCTGCCTCCCGAGTGCTAGGACTAAAGGTGTGTGCTGCTCCCCCACCCCCACCCCACCTCCCCAACCCCCAGCTGTTTGTATTTTTGGGGGGAAATTTTATTTATTATGTATAGAGTGTTCTTCTGCCTACACTCCAGAAAGACGGGAGGTCTCATTTTTTTTTTTTTTTTTTTTAGACAGGGTTTCTCTGTATTTCTTTGGAGCCTGTCCTGGAACTTGCTCTGTAGACCAGGCTGGCCTTGAACTCAGAGATCTGACTGCATCTGCCTCCTGAGTGCTGGGATAAAAGGCATGTGCCACCAACGCCCAGCAGGTCTCACTATTTTTGATTGGTTTGGAACTCCATACTAGGGCTTTAAACTCCTAGAAGTCTGCTTGCTCCTGCCTCCTGAGTGCTGGGGTTAAAATTGTGTACACTACAAAGAGCTTTGTTTTTGTTTTTAATGATTTATTTTTTATAGTGTTCTGCCTGCATGTACAACTGCAGGCCGAAGAGGGCGCCAGATCTCATAGATGGTTGTGAGCCACCATGTGGTTGCTGGGAACTGAACTCAGGATCTCTGGAAGAGTAGCCAGTGTTCTTAATCTCTGAGCTATCTCTTCAGCCCTGTTTGCATTTATTTTTAAAACTATGTTTTTTATAAAGATTTATTTACTTGTGCAAGACATGGTGGTGCATGCCATTAATCGCAGAATTTAGACTAGCTGTTTCAGGACAGCTAGAGTTACATAGAGACCCTGTCTCAAAACAAATCAACAACAAAAACATTTGCCTATTTTTATTTGTATGAGTGTTTTGCATGTATGTATGTGTACCATGTACATGTCTGGTACCCCTGGAACTGAAGTTACTGACGAATGTAAGCCACCAATACAAGTTGGGTCAAAAGCAGCAAGTACTCTTAACCATTCAGCTGTCTCTCTGGTCCCCAACTTGCATTTATTTTATGCTAAATTTATTCTTGTGTCATACTTTTTCTTTGGTTTTTTGAGATAGGGTTTTTCTGTGTAGCCTTGACTGTCCTGGAACTCATCTGTAGGTTAAAGGCCTGAACAGGGCCACCCAGCACATTTTTGTTTTTTAGTCTTTTTCTGGGTTATCTTTTCTTTTGTGCAGCCTTCTGGCTAGGAACAGTTTGTTCCTTTGCAGTGAGGATCATTTCATTGAGGCAGGGGGAGCTCATGCCTGGATTAATCCACAATGATCTCTATGTTCAACAATGTATCTTAGCTGCTTTGTAACTAGAGAATCTACATCGAAAGCCTTAAATTCATTTAAAAAAAAAAAATCAATGCTGTGGGTGATGGTAAGGTGGTGGTTTTTAATCCTAGCACTAGGGAGGCAGAGGTAGGTGATCTCTGTGAGTTCAATCTTTCTAGATCAGCCTGGTCTACAAAGCAAGTTCCAGGACAGCCAGGGCTACAGAGAGAAATCCTGTCTCAAAGGTCGGGGGGGGGGGGGCACCCAGGAAGGTTTTAACCTCTTGATTTGCATGATTATGCAGGGTTCTCTGGGTCAGGAGAGTAGCAAACCACTGTCACAGGAAGAGTTCTTTCCTCATTCTTTTTGGCAGGAAGATGGATGGAATCTAGGGTGGTGGAATCTCCACTGAAGGGCTCTCTTTCCTCCTTCCTGGTAGGAGGGATTACTCATACCTTACCTACTGATAAGGTAGCTTGTTTTGCTACACCAAGGCATTCTCCACCTTCGAAGTGTAAACTGGCCAGGCATTACCTTGCTCAGCTGAAATTTGATAAAAGCTGAGTGGAGGGGATCCCCTGTGGTCTTACTGTGATTTACTGCACACACTGGTATTTGTGGCACCTGCGCCCTTTTATACAGCTCCCTGATAGCCTGAGCCTACTGAGATCTCTGGCCTAATGATCAAGTCCTGGTATTCAGTAGCCTCCAGAGATCCTTGGGCCCACAATATACAGATATGCAATGCCCTGTTGAGTACACATTTGGTAAACCAAACTGTAGGCTCTGAAGTATGGCATGAGCAACACGGCTCGAGTGTGTGAGGTGGAAAAACCTGCCTGCAAGTTAAATCTACCTCCCCCCCTCCAGGCTGCTCCATCCATGGGCCCCTGAACTCCGACATCTGGGACAAGATCTTCATGCAGCTGCAGGAGCTGCAGTTGTGCAGCAAACACCTGAGCACAAGGGACCGAGATGCCCTGTGTCAGAGACTGCGGGCCAGCGCGTGCTCACTGGACCAAGGTCCCAAGCTCTTCTTTAAATGCCTCTGACCCTGGCTCTGTCGTTTCTAACCCCCACCCCCAAAAGAAAAAAAAAAAACTTAATAAACTAAGCTGCTGTCCCCTTCGTGTGTCTGTCTGGGAAACTGGTGGACGTTGAGACTTGACAGGCGCTGCTGCCGCAGAGCGCAAGCCCAGGCAGAGAGGACGAGCGCCGACCCACTGATTGGGCTTGCTCTGTGCGTAGGCTTAAGTTGGGAGAGTGAGCGCCGAGCTGCCGATCGGGCTTCCTGGCAGGCGCAGGCGGAAAAAGCGAACACCGAGCTGCTGTCGCCATCTCCGGGTCTCCAAACGCCCCAGGTACGCAGCGGCTACGGCCGGGTCCCACAGCAAAGGAACCTTTTAGGCTAAGTGTCCCAACCTCACCTCCTTTTGGCTCAGCGGCCCTCGCGGCGCGGTCCGTGTCTAAGTAGGTGGTGGGCGCTGTCAGGTGGCATCACTGGCTCATAGCTCAGGTTTCGCTGGCTGTGAGGGTATCCACCTTCCTCCTGGGACTGCGCTGGCTGTTCCTAGCTTCTGCGACCTCGATAGCTCTTGGCTCAATAGCTCAATAGGCTCTTCATCAAGCCTTTATCTCAGTTTGCCTACCTTCATTGAACTTTTGTTTTCTTTTCATCCCATTTCAAATCCTGAAGCGAATTTTAGCCGGCTGAGCCACTGACATCAACTTCCTCATTAGACAGGACCTTCTCTGGGCCCTGCTTTCACCATTTCTAGACTTCATCAACCAACAAGCTCGCCTTTATTTATCCCTCCAGTAGCTCCCGCAGAATTAAGGTAAAATAGACCTTCACTCACACTCCTAGAGCCCTAGAGAACTAGTTCTTCCAAGTTCGTTTCCATTGAAAGGTGTTGCAACACTGGGCCCTTCCTCCAAGCTCAAGATGCTGCCCCAGTTTGTCTATCAAAGAACTTCCAGACAGGACTCTCCTGGCCCCTGCACCCTCTCTTTCAGTGTTAATGCTTCCCCATGACAGCCCCTGTGTTGTTCCTATAAAGACCAGGAAAGTTATTTATAAGGCTCTGACCCTCACCCCACCCCCATAGCCCAGTTCTTGAGATATAAGGGACCCCTGGAATTAGTGTTGGCTTTGCTTCCCAGGTTTCTGTGCTGTAGCTGCCAGGGCCTGCAGGATGTTTCACGGGATCCCGGCTACTCCTGGCATTGGAGGTGAGTGTAGCCTAAGCTGGAAGGAAATGGAGGGGCCAGACTTTCCCTGCTGCAGGACTGTTGGGGAAGGACCACACTGCCACTCCATCTCACTCATAGCCCTTGGAGAGTGACTAGTGCCAGAGCCATTTGTGGTGCAATTCTGAGGACACAGGGGCACCCTGTGAACTTCAATGTGGTCAGAACCCCTGGCACCCCGAGTATCCCAACCATAGGTTGGGAAGTAGATTTTTATCTGTCATGGTTTTATCAAAAAAGTATGATCACCTTGTTGTGGGTGGAGAGTTAAACCCAGCATTTGGTCTGTAGCCTCTTAGAGGCAATGCTGGTAGGAGGTAAGGCTAGAATCCCTATTGTGTTGCTCTGTCTGAGCTCTTTGGGACATGGCATGGGATACATTCTCAGGGAAGTAACTGAAACAGGGCTGCCCCAGGGTCATCTTGTGACCATCTGTCAACTCCTGCCTGCTCTGTTGTAGCCCCTGGGAACAAGCCGGAGCTATATGAGGTGAGTAGTAGATATTTAACTGGCCATGGCTGCTGCAAACACCATGTGGCTGTTACTGGTTCTGTAACCACCTATTAATGCTGACTGACTTGCCCACTTTTCCAACAGGAAGTAAAGTTGTACAAGAATGCTCGGGAGCGGGAGAAGTAAGTCAAATATCTGAGCCGCCAGAATACACATATGCACCCATCCAGCATCCATAGCAGGCTCAGTGGTCTCCTCCCAAACCCATCACCACACTAGTGATTGGGGAGGACATGGGATCAGGCTAGGGAGATAGTTCTTGAGGATTATCTACCAGGGATGGAGTGAGAGGTGGGCTGAATTGTGTCATAACTGCAGATCAGCAATTGGCTGCCCTTGGTTCTAGATGCCTAGGCTTCCCTGCCTTGGAGCTGTGGCCTGATGGGTGACTTTGTCTTAGGTATGACAACATGGCAGAGCTATTTGCGGTGGTGAAGACAATGCAGGCACTGGAGAAAGCATACATCAAGGACTGTGTCACCCCTAATGAGTGAGCAAGCCTGTGGCTTCAGCTATTTATGGCCACCAATCCTCAGAAGCATGTCTCTCCCTTCTGTGAAGCTTGTGGGTTCAGTAAATCTAGAGCTCAAACTATGAGGGTGTGCCTGATGGCTACCAGCTTCGCGGCCATGTCAGCCAGGGACATTCTGTAATGGTGGGTATGGTTCTGACCTCATAAGGTGAACTACAGCCTGGGGACAGCATAGTCTAAGGTATCACTGTCCAGTCTAGGAGGTGGTGCTGTGTTCATGGATAAGCCATTGTGACTGGACCAGGAGCTGCCAGTGGTAAGGGAAGGTCTGACACCTTGGTCGAGGGCAAACACAGTTTCCAGTCAGCCCTCACCTCAATGATTGCCTGTGAGAGTTATGTCATACCTCCCTGCTCTTGTCCAGAGATATCTTCATGTACAGACCCATTAGGAAGCCTTTGGCCCTCCTAGCCAACCATGAAAGCTTCTGCATCTAGACTTGCTGAGGGAGAGCATAATAACCCCAGATGAACTGCTCTCAATCCCCAGCAGTAACTGGTCCTCTCCCTAGGTACACTGCAGCATGCTCCAGGCTCCTGGTCCAATACAAAGCTGCCTTTCGACAGGTTCAAGGCTCAGAGATTAGCTCCATTGATGAATTTTGCCGCAAGTTCAGAGTGAGTAAGCCAGTCCTTCCTTCCGTCCTTTAGGAAAAGTGTGGTGGGATGTGGGGATAATACCCTGGCCCCCTGGAGGCCAGGTGATGCCCAGAACACATGTCTGTTCTTCTCAGCTGGACTGCCCACTTGCCATGGAGAGGATCAAGGAGGACCGACCCATCACTATCAAGGATGACAAGGGCAATCTCAACCGCTGCATTGCAGATGTAGTTTCGGTGTGTCCCACATCTCTTGAGAGAGCCCTATGGGCCTTAGGGGGAAGGGACTACTGGCCTGGGTCAGTCATGAGTGTGTGTTCATGGAGTTTCTGAAACAAAGCAGTAACCTGAGGAATTACCTCAGCTGTGAGTGAAATGAGAAGCATCCATGGAGCCTGAGCCCCACCTGACTGAGCTCTGTACACTCTCTGGCAGGGCCACAAATTGAGGGAGTTGTGTAGGAATATACCCCAGATTCCCACACTACTCTCCATTGTGATCCCAAATGTCTGTAGAGCAATGTAGGCAGGTCTTCAGCATAGCCCTCAGGCAGAAAAGAGTCCCTAGTTCAGGGTGTAGGGAGGAAAATGGGTGGGAACCTGACCCTATGACAAGCCTATAAGCTACAAAGGGTTTCTACACCCCAACTGGATAGGAGATGTCTAATACATATGCTCCCTCCAGCTCTTCATTACAATCATGGACAAGCTGCGTCTGGAGATCCGTGCCATGGACGAGGTGCAGAAATTGGGTGGGGAACCCGGGCCTGGATACGGGGGAACAGAGCAAAATAGGTAGGGTTTCAGTCTGACGCTTGTATCTGTAGATTCAGCCAGACCTACGGGAGCTAATGGAGACCATGCACCGGATGAGCCACCTGCCTCCAGACTTTGAGGGCCGCCAAACAGTCAGCCAATGGTGAGTGGCTTTCCTGAGTAGCTGGGGCCTTGTGGTGACACCACAGTCCTACCACTCATACAGTCATATGCCTGTGTTCCTAGGCTACAGACTCTGAGTGGAATGTCGGCCTCTGATGAGCTGGATGACTCCCAGGTTCGCCAGATGCTCTTCGATCTGGAGTCAGCTTACAATGCCTTTAACCGCTTCCTACATGCCTGAGCCTCATCGAGGAGGCAGTGAGACTGATGGAGATGTACCACCCCAGCTCCCCAGTACCTAAGCCTGTCCTAGATGTCTATGTTGTCAGAAAGTTACCCCCAATAAAGATCTGTATGACCTTCCTACTGTGGGCAACTACGCTGAACCCACCCTGTGCCATCTATCTACCCTCCTGACCTTGTAACAGAGCCCTTGACTCCTGAGGGATACTGAGCCCCTGAAGTCACTGCCCCTAAAATAACAAGGTGTTCTGGCTCTGTTGCTCATCCCACATGTAGAGTTGCCTCCATAGGAGATGATAGCTGGGCAAGGTGACTTTTCACAGCTCCTCAAGTAGGGAATATATCGACTCTTCACTGGACCACATGTGGTTGGAATCTGGCAACCTAGGTGGCTGCCTCTTTGCATACCTTCACGGCCTTCCTAGCAGCACCTGAAAATTCTAAGCAGTTTGCAGGCTCTATCAATCCAGTCCAGACCACAAGCAGTTCACCTCCACTGTACTGTGCTAGAGTAGGCACTATGACCCTGCCATGTGACATTTAGTCCTCCAAGGTTCATTGTGGTGGCTGTTTTTGTTTGGTTTGGTTTTTTGGAACAGTGTTTTTCTATGTAGCCTCAGCTAGCCTGGAACCAGGCTGGCCTCAAACTCAAGAGATCTGTAACTGGAGGTTTCTCTCCCATCCATCAGTTCATGAATAACCACTCTTGAGGCTTAATATTAATTACAAACTGTTAGGCCTATTAGCTCAGGCTTATTGCTAACTAGCTCTTACAACTTAAATTAACTCATTTCTACTAATTTGTGTATGGCCATGGGTTACTGATAAGGCTCTAGTATCTTAACTCAGGCTACATGGCAACTCCCTGACTCCTCCTTCTTTCTCTCTGTATCTCTGTTTGGATTTCATTGGCCAAATCAGCTTCTTTATTAACCAATAATAAAACATATTCATAGCATACAGAGAGGTATGCCACATCATCTCCCCTTGTCTGTCTAATTTAAAAGGAAGTTTTTAAAAACTTAAACATGGTGAAATTACATATAACAAAACAGGTATCAAGCAAGAATTACAGTTACAGCTGGGCGTTGGTGGCACATGCCTTTAATCTCAACACTCAAGAGGCAGAGGCAGGTAGATCTCTGTGAGTTCCAGGCCAGACTAGTCTACAGAGCAAGTTCCAGGACAGGCTCCAAAGCAACAGAGAAACCCTGTCTCGAAAAACAAAAACAAAAAAATTACAGTTAAAATGTTTAGTCCATATCTGGCAAATTTAAAGAAAATATCATCTATCCTATCTTTGTGAGTCTATAAAGCTTTATGTCTAATTTACCTTTTTGTTTTTATTTTTTCGAGATAGGGTTTCTCTGTCCTGAAACTATCTCTGTAGACCAGGCCAGCCTTGAACTCAGAGATCTGCCTGCCTCTGCCTCCTAAGTGCTGGAATTAAAGGTGTGCAACACCACCGCCCAGCTTCTAATTTATCTCTTATAATAACTAAAGAAAACTATAACTATCTGTCATCAACTCCATCAAAGACCCCAGAAGGGTATAATATTGCCTAAATAAACAGGAAGTGCATTGTAAGCAATGCATTGTAAGCAATGACAGAGATACCTGGCTGCCTGGACAGTCATCCAAAGTTCTTCTGTAACATTGGGCATTCATCTTCAGCCTGTACCCCTAGAGTGTGACAGATTTCTCAGTGAAGCAGGAAATTTGAAACTGTCCTGCCTGTCAGTCACTTTCCTCTGTGTCCTATAGAATGTTTCTTCTGTGAAGCAGAAATCCTGAAGGATCTTGTTTTGGCAAATTCAGCAGTCACTTTCCTATGGGCCCTGCATGTCCAGTTTATACAGCATACAGTCAAACAGTCCAGACAAGAGCAGTTTCTTGCCCAAATGGCTAGTCTTGCCATATTGAAAACAAACTCCATAAGTAGCTTCTTCCATGCCTATCATCCTCTTGAAGTAATTAGTGCTTCCAGGACTCACTGTTGAGAAAAGTCTAGGTTCTTTTTTTTTTTAAGATTTATTTATTATAAGTACAACACTGTGCCTGCATGTACACCTGCAGGCCAGAAGATGGCACCAGATCTCATTATAGATGGTTTTGAGCCACCATGTGGTTGCTGGGAATTGAACTCAGGACCTCTGGAAGACAGCCAGTGCTCTTAACCTCTATGCCATCTCTCCAGCCTGAGGAAAGTTTTTAAAACATTTTAAATGCCATATTCTGTAGGTCTTTGAAGTGTATGAACATTACCTATCCATCTGAAATGCATCTCTGTATATCTAGAAACCTAACTACAAGTTTGATTAGTGTAGATGATTGTTAATTTGTATTTCTTAACTATACATTACATATTTTTGTTTTGTAGAGTTTCTAGGACAGCCTTGGCTGTCCTAATAGACCTGGTTGGCCTTGAACTCACAGAGATCTGCCTGCCTCTGCCTCCCAAGTGCTGGGTATACATTTTTAAATGAGCTGCATAAACATAATACCTTAAGCAAGAATAGAAATATGTAGTATAACAAAATTGACACTAAATTTGTATCAATAAACCAAAATCCATACCATTCATTTCTATATCAGATGTCCACTGCATCTTCCTCCCAAATGCTGGGATTACAGGCCTGAGCCACCACTGCCCCAGCTACTTCTACTGTTGTCTGAGACAGGATTTCACTATGTACTCTGGTTGGCCTGGAACCTGTTGTATTGACCAGACTGGCTTCCAAATCACAGAGATGCTCCTTCCTCTGCTCTATCTCCTGAGTGTTAGGATTAAAGGTGTGTACCACCAAGCCTGGCCTTTTCTTTCTTTCTTTCTTTTTGGAGACATGGTTTTGCTATCCTTGAACTTAAGGTTATTTTCCTGCTTCAACTTTTTTGGTCCTGAGATTGCTGGTGTTTCCTACTAATGCCAACCTTATGGCAGTGTTTAATTGAAGCACTTGCCTTCAAATAGTGACCCCCCCCAACACACAGATCATCTTTGTTGTTAAGAATTAAAAGCCTTGTGCATGTTGCTAGGCAAATGTCTTACTATTGAGATACATTCACAGCTCTTGTTTTTTGGTTTTTTTGTTTGTTTGTTTGTTTTGTTTTAAGATTTGTTTATTATGTATAGTGTTGTGCCTGCATGTACACCTGCAGGCCAGATGAGGGCACCAGATCACATCAGAGATGGTTGTGAGTCACTATGTGATTGCTAGGAATTGAACTCAGGGTCTCTGGAAGATCATCTCTCCAGCTGATTTTTTTAAATAATCTTATGAATATATATATATATGTCTGTGTACCACATGCATGACTGATGTCATAAAGGCTAGAGAAGGCTTTGGATCCCCTGGAACTAGAGTTAATAGGCAGTGATAAACTACTATATGCCCATGCTTAGAGCTCAGGTCGTCTGGAAGAAGAGTCAGTCCTTTTAACTGCTGAGCCCTCTTTTTTTTTTTTTTTTTTTTTTTTTTTTGAAATGGTTTCACTATGTAGCCCACACTGGCCTCAAATACAATTCTGACTTTGCCTCCCTGGTGCTGAATAATAAGTGTGTGCCACTGTATCCAGATCAGGCCTCCTCTGACCCACTTGACTTCTGTGGGCTACTCTGCCTGCCTCTTCCTCCCCACGCTGGAATTAAAAGTGTACTACTTTCCTTATTTTTGAGACACAATCTTATTTTGTAGCTTATTTTGTCCTGGAACTTGTATAGATAAAGCTGGTCTCTAACTGATAGAGATCTGTCTGCCTCTGCCTCCCCGGTTTTCACTTTTTATATTATATGTAGCCATCAGATGCCAGATTAATGCTTGCAATAGCCACAGGGAATTGATAGCCAAGTAGAATTATTTTGCTCTATTTTAATTTTTGCTGTGATAAATATAGAAGTTGCTACTATAATCATTTGATCACAACTTAGTGGCATTGAGCTCACCACACTATGTTCATCTCTAACTTCATCTTCCAAAGCTGAACTTTTGGAGGTAGTGACACTAGTTCTCCATTGCTGACCTCACCATTTGCTATTTATTTGCCTGAGAGAGCAATTGCTATGGCATACCATAGAGGTGAGAGGGCAACATTCACAGCTGGCTTTCTCCTTTAATCACATATGTGAGTCCTAAGGGTAGAATTCAGTTCATCAGGCTTAGTGGCAAGTGCTTTTACCCAGTGAACCATCTCACCTACCCGAGACTTTGGTTTAAATACCTTTTTAAATAACAGTGGCAAAGGCAGTGAGCTTGCTGAAAATGATACCGGAGGGGCAATGACATTCATGCATGAGGGTTGCCTATACTGGTCTTCCAGGACTTGGGTAGGTCTACCCTTTGAAGGAGAAATCTAGGGGATCCTGGATTGCCAAGTCTACACTAAGATTTCTTCCTAGAGGCTGACAGTGCTTGAACAGAGGGCAGCCAGCCAATCTGTAGCAGAAGGAAACCAGCCCAGGCTTAGCACCCAGCAGCCCAGTGGTGGAAACAGAAAAGCCAATTTAGGTATTAGGCATCTGCGGAGCTACATGTGGGGATCTCTCTTCATTGTCTTCATGCTGGCTCTCTCTCCTAGTTCCTCCATAGGACCAGGATTGGAAGCCACATTGTAGGGCATAAGAATTATTAGGGTGTGTGTGTGTGTGTGTGTGTGTGTGTGTGTGTGTGTGTGTGTGTGTGTGTGTTAGGAGCAGGTCCAAAGCAATTGACCCCTGGGCTCAGGATACTCAGCCAGATTCTTTCCCCCACCCTGCCCTACCCTCCAGTATACTAGAAGACAGAGTCATCTAGAAATTAGCTGCCAGCTCCACACCCCAACCACACCCCAGGGGCCTAGGATCCCAAGTGGTATGAATGCAGGTTGAAGAAGGCCAGAAGGCTTTGTGACCTGGGGATTATCAACTCCTGGGAGACCCAACCCCTCCTCTAGCCTGCACCTGGGTAGAGATAAGGCTCTGGGGTCAAAGGCTAGAGGGATCGATCAGTGAGGGTCAGAACTGGGAACCCCAGCTCTACCCCATTCTTCCTGTACTTAGGTCTAGAGCCCACAACAGGGCATCAACCTCCACCTGACCCCAAAGTCTGGCCA